TGATTCCTGAAGATCCTGGGGATTGAACCTGAGACCTCCATGCCAACAAAGGGCAACATGCAAGAGATTTTGCTAAGAGGCCAGTACATTGGAGTGGTGTGATTGTGAAAAGTCCAATTTCCCAGTCTCACTGATTTGATTTTTTGCATACCAATTTTCTGCACACCTTGAAGCAAAAGAAAGAAGGTGCTGGTAGGGGTAATCTGTTAAGTTTAATGTATATAAAATGCTGTATTTAAGTGCATTATATTTAGAAATGTTGTATAGGAAGGTTGTTTTTGTTTACCTTCAGCATAGAGCTAGTGTTTTTCTTTTGTGAATGAGCTAAACACCTCGTGACTAATCTCATGGTCCATCACAAGATAGTCACAAAGCACAACAGAAGATGTAACCTGTGAACCTGAATAAATGTATTTCCCTGAAGGTTGCTTGCGACACAGAACGACAGTGTATTATTCGAGAGATAAAGAAACTTCATTTCAGTAAAATATGAAGCGAAGATGGCAACTTTATGGAACTGAAACTCGTTGCTTTTTGTGGGGGGCAACTTATTACTTTATTTTGTAACATTTTCTTTTGTAACCTAAGTGTTTAAGGCTGTTCTGCAGTAAAGCTTAAAAATTCATTATTGTGGTGGAGAGAATTAATTTCTACAGAAGGTCCAGACCAGGGATATTTGCTCTACAACTCTTAACACAATCCTCTTGAGTTAGTGAACAAGAGAGACCATAAAGAAAGAGGAGCTAGTTCAGGTGACTTAAGAGCAGCACAGAGTTAAAAATGGCACCCACAAGTTCATTATTCAGTTTACAGGCTGTGATGTCAGGAGAGAGACATTTTGGTGGTTTTGCAGGAAACACTTAAGCTCTCTCCACTTCTAGGTAGTGATGATGATTGTGCTCACTTTTACCCATAGGTTAACGGAAGTCAGGTCAGGAAGCATTGTCCTTACTCTAATTTAATTTCCTGTGTCAAAGAAAACTCACTGGCTACATGAAGATAAGAACTTGATGGATCAAACCAAAGGCCTATTTAGTCCAGCATTCAGTTTTTAATGGCTGGGGCCCCTCTCTTGTTCCTGTTTTACGGCCAAGTCACCTTTAGCCCCTAACATGGTGTGGTGATTTGCGGATAAAATTAAGAGGGATCTGGGGGGCTGCCACTGCCTGCTCCTTTAGGCTTGCCTTAACTACACATCTACAACCTCTCTTCACGTAGTTTGCAGTGCCATCTATTGGCCATGTGAACGCCTGTGTGAGAACTGATGAGGGCAGATACATAGATACGGGGGATGGGACAGACAGGACGGGACTGAAAAGCAACCTTCCCTCACATTACAGGATTTTTGGCTGGAGTCTCGTGGTAACCTGCAAAGGTCCAGCCATACATTACAAACAGTTCACCAAGTCTGCTCACCTCTTTGGGTGTGGCAGCGTTACAGGACAGCAGAGGCTCTTCTGGGGCCCTGATGAGAGAAGCATGATTTCACTGCCGTTCCTGATAGGTGGTGGGGGCATAAGCCCCCCTCATCAGGAGCTGGATCCTAGCCTGCACCCTGCTTTGGCGAATGGGGATGCAAGCTGGGACTTGGGCTGTAGCAGGGGGCAGAGCTGGAAGGCTTCCCTCGGGTCCTTGGCTATTTAAGCAACCTACACCTGGGGCACTATCTGTTTGTTTCTTCGTCAGGTTTCCCTGCCCACCCACCCCTGGTTTAAGCTGATAGTCAATGACTTTGCTGTGGCTATGGTGGTTGCTGTTCTTTATGGGGCCGGGTAGGAATTTGTCCACCAGGCAAATGGGCTCTTACCTTGTGGTTTTGCCTACCTCATAGCAATCGTCACAACTGGTTGGGCATTGGGGCAGTCCTTTGTCTTGGTTGGAGAGGAGGTTGCAGTCTCTGCCTACCCCTCCAAACGCTAGCGTATCCCATTAAAGCAGTGGTTCTCAACCTGTGGGTCCTCAGATGTTGTTGGACTACAACTCCCATCATCCCTGAGCTCTGGCCTTGCTAGCTAGGGGTGATGGGAGTTGTAGTCCCAAAACATAAGAGGACCCACAGGTTGAGAAAGGCTGTGTTAAAGGGATCTGGTGGGAGTAGTCATGTCTGCGTGCCGAAGCAGGGTCAGGGCCAAAGGCACTCCCCCAGATGGTGGTCTTCGTGGGGGTCACCCTATTTGATGTAAGTCTTAGGGACCCCCCCACCTGGATTGACTATGTGGGTGGGCTGGAAGTATTTTGATTTTCCCATGCCCAAGCTAAACCTCTTTCATCTGTATTCAATAAAGTTGTGGCCTGTTTGATCCAAACCAGTCTTATTGGTCTCTTAATTATATGGGTTGGGGTATGGGGAGCACAATGCTTGGACCTGCAAGTGCTTTAGTGCTTATAGGTTGTCCTCTAGCACCATTTTTGCCCCTCAAAGATGGTAAATTTAAGTTTCCACTGACATACACCTGTTCTGGATGTTGTTTTGACTTTAATGAGTTTGAGGAGGTTTATATCTCTGTACTGAGCAACCTCTATCACTTTGACATTTACTTTTTTTCTCTTTTATAAATGTCTTATAAAAAGAGAATCATTCAGCATCTGTTACTATTTCTACCAACATCTGTCTCAGTCAGACATTGTTAAATATATGAATAATATATTAAAATTCAGTATACTTTTCGGGGGAATTTTCTGAAGTCACAGCTTGATTACTCATGCTATAGTGAGAATCTGATAGTGGTTCATTAACTCATTTAGAGACCTATACATTGTACCATTGTCACATCTTTGCTATTTTCCTACAAGTAGCTCCTGAATGACAAATGTAGCATGTAAATCACAAAATGTAATAGCTGGGACCCAATTTCGTAGGCCATTTCCATGGAATTGGCATGTGTCCCATCTCTCAGCAGAGTGCAGATTCTGTTATCCATGGACCCAAGTGATGAGCCTATTTAGAATCATCTAACTATTACCCCAGCTGCATTGGGAACTGCTGGGAGAAAACAGGTGTTGCACACAACCCCAATCTTTGATTCCAGGGGTTTCAAGCACTTACTCATGGTTTGTGTTTCCTTTGGAATGATGGAAAGTGGAGACTGTAGTGTCTTTATGATATATGGTTTACATACTTATATATACAAACAGTCTGTGAGTTAGTGGTAGGGCCCCTACCCATTTCTTGTCTGGCATGGCACTTCCTTTGTTCTCTTAATGGCTCATTATCCAGGCTATCACCTCACCAGAAGGGTAGCCTGGCTATTCCAAGAAGCGGAAGGGGGCCAAGACCTTCAGCCTAATTCCCCCCAAAACTCATAACAGTTTCTACATGGATAATATACTGTTGAGGAGACCCTATAGAATCTATTTCCTAGGGAAAAATATTTGCGAAGCAAAAGAAGCAAAAGAAAAGCAAACATCTTTTAATTTGTTAGTCCTAATTGCTTTAACATATTTCATACACAATATTGCACTAATCCCCTCTGCTCACAATAAAATAAACAAAACCTACTTGTGAATGTTGGGAGTTATAGTTAACAATACCAACCCCCTCTCTTATCTTTCAAGGTTATATAGACATTTCAGATATGTGCCCTAGAAATGTAGTGTTTTAGAAATGCACCATTAAGGCTAAGAAATGAGTAAGTGTACTGATGGAACTGAAGCCTGCAGCAAGCTCTGCATGCTCCAAATCTAGAATTGCTTTTAGAATTTCTCTTTGTTTAGAAATTCCAGAAGAATGTAATGAAAGGCAAAGAAGCAATAAAAGTACAGAATGGGGGAAAACACAAATCCCTATTTCAATTGTTAAACTGCAGTGATGTGGCATTTGACAAGGTAGGTTTTATGCTAAATCAGGGACGTGGAACTGTGGGTCTCTGATTTCCCATCATCTCTGACTTTTGACCAGACTTGTTGGTGTTGATGGGAGTTAGGAGTCCAACAACATCTGAAGGACCACATGTTTCCCATCCCTGTGCTAAACAGTAATAGAGACCCAAGCTATGATATATATTTTTCAGAATATCTGGAAAAAGGATTTATTCTGAATCAAACTGAAGTATGAAAGCTATTTCATCTGATGTAGTTAAATAAAGGAGCAATTAGGAGAATGAAGGCAGACCTCCATTCATAGCCTGAGTTATGTAACTCTCAATCTAGCAGAATCTATGGTCAAATATTTCATCATTTTAGAGCACCAAAATGAAATATTGATTGACTAGCATTAGCATTATGTGGTAAATTTCTAAAGGCTATAGTTGATGAGAAATGGGGGCACTTTGTGCTTATTGCTCTCATTGTTGAATTTTTTCCCTAGCATCCTTGCACTTTTAATTTACAAGATTTTCATTTTTGTAATATTGTTGGCAGCACTGAATGAAATACCATGGGATAATATGATGCAAAATGTCCCTTCATTTTTCTTTTCTCTCTTTACAAAGTATTCTTTCTTCCCCCCTTTCATCAAATCTGTGGGTCTTGCAGATTTTTCTGTCTGTGGAAGCAAGATTGACAGCTAAAATCCAAGGTTCTGGGTGCATCACAAAATATACATATTGGATTTAAAATATATCACCTTGTGGGCTAGTCCTTTTTAGCTATGCAGGGGATGTACTGCCCAGTGACAAGACAAGGCTAAATTATCTTTCTCAAACAACCTGTTGCAGCATTTAGGAATCTGGAAATGGGACAGGTATCTCTTGGAAGAAAATCAAACGCTACAGATTCTATTTTGTTTACATGGATTTTGTTTACATGGATCCTTAGAGTTCTCTAATATTAAAAACCATGCAGAAAAAGGATTCAAGTGCACCAGATGAAATCTAGCTGAAGCTAAATTCAACAATCCCATACACAAAAAGTGATTTTAATTGCGTTGTTTATTAAACTTTGACCTGTCTATACATACTGCCAACCACAATTCCAGCTACTAATACTAGAAAGTTATGATTATATACATTTCTCTCATTTGCTTCAAGACTGGATTATCTGATCCATGTGCTGATTTTAAGATGATAGACACCAGATACAAGGCTTACTCTGAACAGGAAAGGTAATCATTCCAATAACTATTATATGTGATATATTTCAAAGCTGTTTGGCTTCTGTCAAGACATGTTAGAAGAGAATGTTTTGTCTCCATATAATGAATGGTTTTCTTTATACATGTGACCTTTTTGTCCTAGTGTGTCCTTCAGGATCTGTGTCTTTATTGAGACTTCTATAAAATAATTATGGGCTCCCAGCTCATTTGATTTTAACTACTTTTCTACTCTGGTGAAAGATTTACTACTGCTAACTCTAGCACTTTCTAGAAGCAAATTATCTAGTTCTTCACAAATAATAATAAAAAAGCTACAACAGAAGTATAAAACTGAATCCATAAATAAACATTTGTTGATCCAATCTACTGTAAGTTATTACCACCTGATGGTAGACAAGCTGAAGATGCAGAAGAGAGGAACTAGATCGGCATCCTGTTTGCTAACAAGTGCTATTCAGCCTCAGCACTATAGGAAAAGATTGTAGCTCAGTGACAAAACATCTGCTTTACATACAAAAGGTCTTATGTTAAGGTTAAAATTGTGGCACCCCCAGTAAAGCTGTGAGTGATCTCTGTCTGAAATTCGAGAGAGCTGCTGACAGTGTCGAAAATACCAAGCTAGATGGACCAGTGTTCTGTCTCAGGATAAGGCTGCTTCCTTATAGGAATTTATGTTGTTGCTATATTTCCACTAGATCATCACCACACAGCCCAGAGTGGAGGATTTTTAGTGTCATGTGACAATATAGGACTTGCATGGTTGCCAAGGGAAAGGAAGGGAACAGAACAAAAGCCACTCCATGCCTGATGACAGCCATGTCCAATATTGCCCACTTTGGGAGTTGAGAGTAACCAAAAAGGCAAAGGAGGTGTGGAACTCCCTCTGTGGGAGGGCTGAGCCCCCCAGTGCTCCTGTCAGGCTTTGGGGAAATGGATTCCTCCCTCCCTTTGGCCGTGGATGAGCAGAACAAAGTGAATATTAGTCTTACCAGTTAAAGAGATATTTAATATTCACAGTGAAGGAACAAAGACTCTATTCTCAGAGGAAAGGTGCTCCTAATTAAGGTTTCCACCCACTCCCCCCCCGAGCCACTCCCATCACTTCCTTGTCTGGTAACCTGATCTCACAACCATTTGCTCTTCTGTGTCTTTGGACTGGGCGCTGGGACACTTTCCAGTGAAAGGGAGTCTGTTAATTCTCTCTCTCCCTGTTCTTCTTCTCCTTAGCTGTTCCCCACTCAGTTCTGCCCGGCTGTTGTATTCCAAACTATGTCACTCTGCAAACCACTGCTCCAAATCTATAACTGTTCCATTGCTCCTGAGCAGTTGCAGGATTCTGGTCAGGAGCAGGGGGAGGGGGAGGCCCCCACCATTCCTCAACAGAGTAGCTCTCCTCAGCCTGGTCTCTGACAGCTCCTATCTCTGATAAAAATGAAATTTGGCCAAGGATTATGGAAGGTTAAAGGGCAACCCAACCTCTTACTGCATGCTGCCTGTCACCTGCATCTACATATGCAGAGGCTCATGGGAGGGCAACATGTGCTCAACGTTACACACAAGGGAGAGACCATATTGGACACTTGTTTTCAATTTCACAAGGCTTCATCCTTTTTCCTGTGCAGGTTTGAATTTATCATGAGAAACTACAGGGAACTGTCAACTTTCACTGCTTCCTTTATAATGTGTTGGGCAATTGGTCCCTCTAGCGCAGTATTATCTGCACTAACTGGCAACATCTCTCCAAGATTTCAGAGGCAGGTCTCTCCCAGCACGGACAAATACAAGGCAAATTTAAATTGCATAGAAAGCAAAGCTAGCCATTACTGTCTCTACCAGCTTGAGAATGCAAGTCAGTTGCTGTTTTTTGATTCCTGTGTGAGCCAGATATAATCCATCATAGCTAAATATAAGGGCCTAATGTTCTCCCTTGAAAGGGCCTTCAAAAATTGACCGCACATAGGTATACAATTATTTTAATGTAAAAGGCAGTACCTTTTGTATCACCCCCGAATACACTGCATATTTGTGCTTTATGAAAGCATGACGGAGAAGGCAAATAACCATTTTTGGTTATTTTTTATAAAGAAAAGGAACTGTGGTGAAGTACCATATAATTGGGTACGTCATTAAAATCTGTACAGTTATTGAATATGTGTATTTCAACAGAGCTTATTTTCTTAAAGCTTTAAGTTTAAACCTCTCAATTCAATGTTCCTGGTGTGCTAACTTTGATGAGCCCATAAAACTTCTTTCTCATTCCCTGGGGTTTCTTGTTACATCTCACAATTTAAGATTGGAACAATGAACAACTTAGAGAACCAACAACTTAGAGAACCAATAATTGATAGATTTGTCAATCATGAAAAGGGGGAAAAGGCCACAGCTCCAAATGGCTTAATTGAGGTTTTTGTTTTGTCTTTTAAACTAAAGGTTGAGTATCAGAGGTGGACATCCTAGAGCCCCAGAAGATGCCAAAACAAGCATTTATGTGGTGCTGGTTCTGTCTCAGTGGATAACTGTCATTATATGGAAGCAATTTGCTTGGATACAGTGAGAAAGTTTGGCTTTAGGTAAATTGTTGGACAAGGTTCATCACTTCACTGAGATATATGCACTAGAAATAAAATTAGCAACTCTGGAGCACTTAATAAGACTGGATAGCATCCAAATAGCTACTCTAAATATTCCCATGGAATTGTATGTACCCAGCTGGATTCTTTGAGCAGCAGGCACTCGTGCTATATTGCAAGCTATTCCTGAAACTGTTGGTGGCAAGGAAAAATAGGTGTATAAAAGAGAATTCCTGGATGCAAAGACCCAAGTTGGGCAAGTACTCTTTGGTGAGAGAACCCCAACAGAGATTTAAATGTAGAGATTGAAATTAAAGTGTGGAGACATAGACCTTTAAAATATGCCCTTCTAAGTTCCTTCAAAAGTTTCCCTCTTCCCTTAGCATAGTAAAAGTCCACACATTTGATAAGTTAGAAATAGTTTACTTACAAATTCTCCAAAGGTCAAATTCATGTGCTTTTCCATACAGTATTCAGAAAAGGTTGCACAGACAGTAAAATTTGGCTTTAGCTTCAGTGGTGAGTTCCTAAATTATTGGTATGGGAACACATGCAACTGTAAGAGCCGTGAAGTGTGATCTGCATCAACAAGCTCAAAACCTCTTTACACATTGAGCTTCTTTGGTAGACAGTGGTTGGATCAAAGAAGCATTTCAGTTAAATGTGTTGTAAACTTTGTATAAGAAATCATATTGGCAAAAACGGAATTCCACAGCACCATGTGGTGTCACAGTGTTATAATGCATATACTACACATATAAAGCGCTTTTTCTTCACCAGTGTAGCTGACTCCTGGGAGGAGAACAAAGGCTTGATTACCAAGTCCTTCCCAAGGTGAGCTAAGCCTGGCAGGACAGCTTACTCTATGGTCTTAACCCATTCATTCATTAATTAGACTTAAGCATGTTGGTTTTATCTGGCTGGTTATCCCACAGAAATTACTTTGCTCAAATGCCATTTAATTATGTACGATGGAAGGCTAACCTTAGAGAATCAATAGATTCAAATAACTTCCAATGTGAAACTGCCACCTATGCATGGAAGCCTCTGGTATGTTAAGAGAGTATTGCTGTCCCCCTGGCACTCCATAGATATTGGAATACGTGTAGCAATACCTCCCCTGTTCTGCACTTTGGTAGCATCAAGGCCTCCAAGATACTTAGAGAGTGGTGGAATTACTGCCTGCTCTGTGTGGCAGAGATTCAGAGGCTGCACTAGCCCTCTCTATTCATACCCAAAGAGGTTTGTGGTATGTATTTCAGATTCTAAGTCTATGTCAGGCTTTTGACAGACTTGAATTTATATATTTAGTAGTAAAAGGTAAAGGACCCCTGGACGTTTAAGTCCAGTCAAAGGCGACTATGGGGTTGCGGAGCTCATCTCGCTTTCACACCGAGGGAGCAGGCGTTTGTCCACAGACAGTTTCCTGGGTCATGTGGCCAGCATGACTAAACCACTTCTGGTGCAATGAAACACCGTGATTAGTGCCAGAGTGCACGGAAACACTGTTTACCTTCCCGCCTCAGCAGTACCTATTTATCTACTTGCATTGGCGTGCTTTCGAACTGCTAGGTTGGCAGTAGGTGGGACAGAGCAACAGGAGCTCACCCCGTCGTGGGGATTCAAACCGCCGACCTTCCAATCGGCAAGCCCAAGAGGCTCAGTGGTTTAGACCACAGCACCACCCATGTCCCTATATTTAGGAGTGCAACACAGTGGTCCCATTTTCCCATGCCTTATCCTTAAAGAACAGTTCAGGAAAGTACATGGCAGCAGGTTGACAAGAAACTGGGAGGTGAAGTTTTGTATCTACCCTTTCAACTATAAGAAATAGATTCTAATAATGCTCAAAGAGAGCTCTATTCATAACCAATCATCACATTCTCAGAATAGTCTTCCTACTTCTTCACCCCTTCCCCTTTCCCCTCAACTACTGGATGCTGTTAAAGACACACTGCTTAAAACTCAAGGTTAACAGAATACAACACAAAACAAGAGTGACTTTGTGCACCAAGTTGATACAATTTTCTGATATTCTTGTGGCCACCACTCCCTACATCCTTGCGGTGAAGGAATGTTGTACACCAGGGAAAGTGAAAACTATGGGTGGGTGGGGTGGCATGGGTAGGGAACCAGGTATCTCAAAACACATTGAAGAAACACTTGCTGAAACCTGCTTGCCGTGTTGAAGTGGGAGCCTGAGAGATAGACATCAGATTAATTCTTTATTTAAAATTAGATTTTGCTATCAGCAACTTATTATAATACACTTGGAAATGTTAATTAATAAAAAGTGCATTTCTATTAGCAAATTTGTTTTTTCCCTTTACCAAACACTATAGCTTGCAAAGTGAATGCATTAGGATTCATAAATACCACTGACTTCATGCATCTTAACTGTACTAATGGAAAAACATTAATAATTGTCATCTGCATTACTAAGATACCCAGTTAATCCATTTGCATAAATTCTGCCTCAGAGTGTTAGACATTTGTAAATCATTTGCCAAGTAATTTCAAATTAATGCACCATTCAGTTGATTTATGAATGCAAAATAACATTAAAACTTAAAATAACTATTTTAATCAGTCCTTTTGAAGGAAAAAAGGCAAATAAAGCATAAACTCAACCAGTATATATAATCTAGATTTCCCAGTCACAAGTGGGCATGTGGTGATTGGAACAGCTCATACTTTGTGAGATCCCTGAACTACAAATGATATCTCTTGTATTTCCCGTATGGGGAAAATGCAGAAGTGTGACTCTTGCTTTTCTTTCTTTCTTTCTTTCTTTCTTTCTTTCTTTCTTTCTTTCTTTCTTTCTTTTTGAACAATGCATGGATTCCAAGAAGCATATTTGACCAGCAATGGAAGTTATTCAGTTGGTGATTTTCCTAATAAGACTGGGCAGATGTCTGCTATTGATGGTTTAGGTTCAAGACATTCCAGTGCAGAGCATACTGTTAGCTTAGGTGACTAATTGAATCACTTGCCTATAATACCTTATTAAAGGAGGCAAGTGTTCTTCAGCAATCTGCTGGGTTGTTGTATCACAGGTATCACAAAGTAAATGACAGTAGAATCCTGACTGTTGGAGGTTTCTGGCTCTGCTATCTGTTAGTTCCTAGGAATTTTAAAGGTACATTGTGATGATTCAGATGGTAGATGGATCATAGTGGTATCTTTGCTGATGTTTCCTTTGATTGTTACATTTTCTCTCAAACGTTAATGTATATTTCTTTGCAGATGGACTCTCGTGATTATTGTGGTAGAAGTCATATTCATCACGTTAAGTGAGTTATGGAAAACGTCTCTCAGTTCCATTAAATGTATAGATTAATATGGGCAGTCTATATGTGCAAATACATATTTAAATGAGATAGATCACTATAAACCATGTGCAAAGGGTAGAGAGGATGTGAAACTATTGAGTTGTAGATGATGTGCATTTGTCCTCCCAACTCTGGCAGTATCACACCTCTTTAAACAGCCGTAGCTTCCCTCAAATAATCCTGGGATCTGTAGTTTAAAGCTGATGAGAGTTGTTAAGCAAGAAACATTTCCCCCCAACAGCTGCAATGACAGAATTCTCTGGGAAGAGGAATTGACTGTTAAACCACTCTGATAATTGTAGCTCTGTGAGAGAAATATGGGTGTCCTAACAACTCCCATGCTCTTAATATTCTGCAATTCCTAGGATTTTGGGGGTAGTCAGGACTGATTCTCCTTTAAATGTCTAGTTCTGATGGGGTCTTAGTATCTTGGCTACTGTAATGGCTTCCAGAACCCAATTTTGTTGTCTGTTAGTCTGCAAACCACAGGGATATAATTGAAAAGTAATTTAACTATAAATGCCATGTTAAATCAAACTGTCTCCTTTAGTTTCTGACCTGGCTACAAAGGGACTTATCCTTTTGATGGACTGCCATGGGCATTGGATTAAGTCTCTGTGATGACAAAAACCGACTTCATCAGGTTTAGTGAATGTTCTAGTTCTGGAAAAAAATATGCTCAGAGCATTTCAGATCTTAGATTTGAGAAATTTCATCTATGTCTGTTAACTATATTCAAATTAACTCGGCCCACGTGGTTTTGTTTTCACATATGCAACATTCCCTTCCTTTGAAGAAATATGAAAGTTAATCAATGTATATTGGTTTCCTACAGTGATTTAATCAAGTGGAAAAAATGCTCTTAGCTTGCCAGAATTTGAAGAGGCAGAAGCTGCCTTTTTGCCCATTACGTTTTAAATTCACAATGCTGTAAAAATGATTCAAAATGAGAGCTATTTAGTCTGTTGAAGTTTATCCATTTTAATACATCATTTCCTTCTAATTGCTTCTTGATTACATTTCTGCATTTGCTTCAACAAGCTTGCCCATTAGGCCATTTCAAAAGTGTATGGTTTTTTTTAAAAGTGCTTCTTAAATATCATTTTTGTATTAGTTGCTTTCATATTTTAAAATATTTCACCACTCTTGCAGCTTCAGTTTTCTCACTGAGTCAAAATTAAAATATTTAGGTTCACATGTATTTTTCATTTCAGTGTTAATCTAGCTACATTTTACGCTTTCATCAAGTCTATGAAATATATTTGAAAATCAAGTCTGCCCTTACCACAGAGAGCCAAGGCAGATGCCTAGGGCAGACACATTATAAAGAATGCTAGCTTTGGTCTTCAAATGTTTGATCATTTGTCTGAATTTCTAAATGTTTGGCTCTATAAAGTCAAATGTATGTTGTTTGTCAGGAGGCCTTCCATCTAAAAAAGGAGAAAGAAATTAAATAAAAAGTACATTTTTCAGACAAAGTAACTGATCTACTAAAATGGTGTTTCTCCAATTTCTACACTGTTTGGAAATTGCTAACAAATTATACCATGGAAGTTACCGTGTTTTAAATTTCAGTTGGCTGTTAACTGTTAATAACTTGTGGGAAAAAGTATTTATTTTTTTCATTCGTGAATTCATTTTGTGTGTGCATCAGAAAGCCAGACTGTGCTTACTGCATTTATAATCATCAAAAAGCCCATTGCTCAGGTACAACACATGTTTTTTGCATGCAACAGTTTCCACGTTCAGTCCCTAGCATCTCTAGGTAGGCCTGGGAATGTCTTCTGTTTAAAACCCTGGAAAATCTGGGTTGTATCCAATAAGATTTTCTTAGCATAGACATGTTTAATTTAATGGATCTAAGTTAATTTCATATAACCCTGTCATAATACATTTGCAAATGGGTGGTGATGGTGGCAGGATTGAGTTTTACAGGGGGGAAGTAGAAGAGGTGAGCACCACTCCTGTCTACCGCTTTTGTCCTTCGTATTTTTCTTCCTCACTGTTTTGGATTAGGGAAGTAGATGCCCATATCTGCTGCTGATAATTTTGTTCCATTCCAAATAGATATTCACAGGAAAATGTTGAAGGGTCTAAGACTGCCATCACTGTTGTTATTTCCTAACCTTTGTGACTTGCTATATATAGCAATACATGGGCTTTCATCTATGTTTTGTAAAGATGGCTTGTTTTGCAATGTGCAGTATTTGTGTTTTTACTGTTTCAATTTGTTCTTGACATACAGCATTCTGACCTTTTGTACTATTATCTAAGAGGAGCTTCACAATTTTGTCAAGTGACTAATCTTATTCTTTCACCTCAAGCGAATAAATAACTACTGGTGACATTTGCTATTTTCGGACAAGCATTTTAATCCCACAAGTATCTAACACACACACGCATATGTATATATGTTATGTGATACTGTTGGATAAAGATTTTCTTGTAATAGAACCATAATTTATTATTCATGCTGTATCGTAAAGAGAATTCAAGTTTCCATGGGCAAATTTAGGATGTACAGTGGTACCTCGGGTTACAAACACCTTGGGTTACAAACTCTTCAGGTTACAGACTCTGCTAACCTGGAAGTAGTACCTCGGGTTAAGAACTTTACCTCAGGATGGGAACGGAAATCGTGCAGTGGGGGCACACTGGCAGCGGGAGGTCCCATTAGTTAGTGGTACCTCAGGTTAAGAATGGTTTCAGGTTAAGAACAGACCTCCAGAACGAATTAAGTTCGTAACAAGAGGTATCACTGTATGTCCAGACTTTTTGTAGGCAAGTGAAATGTTCACCATATGGAGGGCTCCTCCAGATTACCAAACATTCATCCTGAATTCTGCCTTTTATGATCTAGTTGAGATTCCTTCATTGCAGGCGGTTGGACTAGATGACCATTGGTGTGTCCCACCAAACTCTACAATTCTATGAATATCCTGCACAAAGTCTTTATTGGGCATTTGTTTGTGGGGAGGTTATATGAGGAGATGAATGAGCATAAGCATTCATCCTGATTTGACAGATCCAGTACATTTGTGTGCATCATTGTCATCTTTGTTGTTTTAACAAGGTATAAGTTAGGGATGGGCCCAGCATACATTTTATTCAGCTCACTTGGGCAAAGCTCACATTTAAAGATGAATCTAGCCAATTTACCCTTTTCTGCCTGTACCAATATATGAACTGAAGCACAGTCATCCTTCAAAACTTACATTTCTCTGAATTTTGCAGTTCAATTCTCCAGCCCACTAGTGTGTGCAAGAATGCAGAGTATATAAACAGTGCATGAAAGGCACATATTAGTGAAAGTTTGTGTACATTAGGAAAATTTGCACGTTGTGTATATTAGGAGAAAAATGTGTACTAAAATGCTGATAAATTTTCACGAGGACTTTTAAAAAAAGAATTCACAAATTGGCATGGGAGTCTGGTAAATGAGAGACTGAGAGTCAGATTCAACTACTGAGCTCTTGTAGCAGAAGCCAGCTCAAAGACTTCTGCTAATGCAAAATGGGACTTTGCTCACTCCTCCTTCTGTGCCCCCTGCACTGCCCTCAAATCTGGAGAATCAGGAGATTTCCCCAAAACAGTGTGCAAGGAGGGGAGAAATGCTTGTGCTACTACTTAGCACTACATTTAATTATACCCTTAGAGAAACTGAAATTGATGCATTTGCCTATCCATCTATAATACCCTTCTTGATAAATATTAGTTCTTGGAAATAAACTTGTAATGCAACTGTATATGAAAGGTTGACACGTAATGCAAATACAGAGTGACTTCATAGCCAAGAGATTCACTCTAAAAATATATAGCCAACCATACATACCAGCTTTAAAATTGAAAATGGTCTCTTATTGACCAGCAAAGCCTAGGGTTAAGCAAGTTTGCAGAATCGTAGCTCTCAGATATAATATAGAGCAGCTTGCAAACTGTGAATGCGTAGAAGTGAAACTACTTTATTGATTTTCATTATCCTAGTTGAAAGAAAAGTCAAAGATAAACAAAGTATGGTGAGTGACAGATACATTAGTGTGTGTGTGTGTGTGTGTGTGTGTGTGTGTGTGTTGCCTTCTCACTTCTATCTTATGAAACAAAGATACCAGTACAGGATCACAAAGCTTCTTTGAAAAGCAAGGAAGAGAAACCAAACCTCAACATCTTTTCTGAGGTACTTGAAATTCAAGAATTAAGCAATTAAAGCCAGGACTGTGCAAGCATATTTGTGTCATTGTACAATGTTTTTCATAACATGTGAACAGAGTGGAAGAAAAACTGAAATGTTTCTCCTGCTGGTGACATTAGGTACAATGGAATGAAAAAATAAACTGGCGTTGACTACTGTCATGATGTCAGTAACTAAATGATTTGATTTGACAATTGTAAGTATGTAATCTCTGACAGGTACACCCTCATTTCACTGCCAGGGCACTAAGTACTATAATAAACATGTCACCTGACATCAGGTTATTACTGATTGAAGACAACCCTTTGTGTGTATTCTTAACCATTCTCATTTAGTGAAACCTTTCTTCCTTTATCCATTTTTATGTACAGTCTATAATGAACAAACAGTCAGCAATGGAGTGTTAAGAGCTATTCCTGTTGCTTTGCAAAAAACCACAGAACAAACTTTCCTCGTTTTGTTTTGTTTTTTTTCTTAAAAAGAGGGAAAAGAAGGGCACCTGAATTAATAACAAGAAGGACAAAATCAGTTCATTTTGTTCATACATACATACAGTCATGGGCAACTGGATACAAATAAGCATATCTTGAGAACAGAAAATTTGAGGGAAATGAGTCTGCCTCAAATGGACTTAGTTTTGGTTTGTGGATACATATTTGTTCTGTGGTACCTGGGAAGATTTTTCAGGGGGTGTAGGATCATTTGGCTTTTCCCTTTCTGTGGGCAGAGAGAGGTTGTCCCTAAGAGAGGTAAACCCAACATAACAAGCCTCCTTTGTGAGGCTATAGAAAGGTCAACCTTGGCGAGAGCAAAAAGGAGGCATATGATCTAGTCCATGGGACTGTGCCAGGCTTGAAGTATTTAAAACTGGGCTAGTCCATCTGGCTCCAATTTTAAACAGCTGATGTTAGCCCTAAATGATTTATAATTATTAATTATTATTATTAATTGTCCACCTTTCACTCTACAGGTCACCAGGTGTTTAAAAACTGAAACAGTTTAAAACAACTTATAAGAAAGTGGGTCCTAAAATTATACACTTCAGGTGTAATGACAAGGTTGGGACCATTCCATTCTACCTACCAATCCTCTTCAGAGACATGTCCTACTCCATGTGCCACCACCAAGTCAAGTGAAACCTTTGTTTGTAGACAAATGGTGGCACCTACATTACTGATGTAAATAATGAATGAATGGATGAATGTGTTAAGTTTGGTGGTGATAGTGATTCCAAAAGTGGGTTATGGAACCAGAGAGGGAACATGCTTTGGGGTATAGAGTGAAACATCAACATAGGCATACAAAGGGAAGGCAAAGCATATGATTTGTGATTGAAGGTTCCCATCGCTGCACAATTTGTGTTACCCTGATTGCTGTCTTGTTAATTCCAAACTTACTTACAGTATCAATATGCAAATGTGATTTTCCTTGAGTTTGCTTGGTAATGTAATATTAATAATGCAAGTCCTGTAAAGTTATTTATAATCTGCTTTACATTTCCCCCCATTAGAAGCTAACTTTCATATGCAACACTTGTGTGGCATGACAGAACTGAAACAAATGATATGCGTTTGACTTCTGCTCAGCTTGACAGTAAAAAGTGGTGTTTCAATTAGATGTAGCCTAGGCATCAGGGGCATACTACTGCAGCAATATTACACTGTCAGAAAAGAAGAATGATTTGCTTAGAACTGAAAACGTTTATTTTCGGTTTGTCTCTCCAGTCTTCTAAGCACAAAGAATAGTTGAGGCTTTTAATGTACATATGAAGCTATAGGAAACATTTACTTGTACACAGTATGGGCAGGGGAAAAAAACATTTTTAATGTGTGGTACGTCGGAGGGGGGTAACCGTTTTTTGTCCAAGGGCTAAATTCACCATTTGCCACTTCTCAGCAGTGAATGTGGTCACCACACACAGTCATATGCACATACCCAGTGCATACATATCCCCTCCACAAAAAATTAACATCAATAACAGCAACAATACTCCCCACAAAAAAACCCTAAGCCAGAGCTTTCCAAACTGTGTTGTGGCATGTTAGTGTGTTGACTGTAGTGTGTAGGTGTGTCACGTGAATGCTTCCTGCACTCCTCCTGGGGCTGGAAAGGGGTTAGTTTAATATCTGGTTTGCTAGTAAAACTGAAATACTGTGTCACGAAATGATGCATGTCTAAAAAGCGTGTCACCAACATGGAAAGTCTGGAAAGCTCTGCCCTAAGCAATACCCCAGGACAAAAGTCTGTTTAACAGCCTTAGCTTTTGTAGCTAGAATCAGTCAGGCCCTGCCCTCCCAGGTCAGATGGGAAAAGGCCTGGAAAGCAGGGAGTGTGTCCTTCAAGGCTCACAGCCAAGATGGTGGCTGGTGGGAGTTGTAGTCCAAAACTAATACTCATCCTCAACAGGAATATTGGCTTCATGACTCAACAAGGAACAATTTGTTCTTTGTTACCCTTCCCATTTGTTCTCTTTCTCCATTTGCTTGTCACATTTTCCTAAGTCTTCCTTTCTCCTCCCCCGTATGTCACCATCAGTGTCAACAAATAGGTTGCAAGCTCCTTGGAGCTTACCTGATTTCACTCTGTAAAGCACTCTGTATACTGATAGCGTAACAACAAAAGCAACTTGAATAGCTCATGTTGGGTAGGCACTGAAGCCATCTGTGCAACAAAGGCACCAGGAATCAGTCTTACAATCTGTGTATGCTGGGGAGGTGATGAAAATAATTGAGAATAACAACTTGGGGAAAGTGAGACATGCTACTGACAGATGTGAAGGGACCTTGAATTTCTTCCCAGCACAACCAATGAATTGCTAGTGGATTTAACCATATGTTAGTTTAGCACTGGGTCATATTTGCTGAGACACACTGAATTTAGCTGATTTGCTCTAGAATGAAAGTAACTTCATATGTCCCTTCTACTCCCACAAAAGAGCTGTCTGGTCTTTGACCGCAATAATAATGACTGATTGATTGATTGATTAATTGATTTCCCACAAGAGAGTTCTGGGGTCAAGTGGGGGTCTGAATTTTGAACTATCTCACCTGAGAATGACCCACAAGACATTCCAGTTAGTTGCACCTGCCTCCTTGATGTTAGCCAACTATTTGGAGTAACTGGACCATGCCTTCCAGGTTTATGAAGTGGTCTGTACCTCATCTTCCAGCTTCTTGTATTGAAAGAGGATAAATGCTAAGAGTAGGATTTTTTAGCTGTCTGAAAGATGTATGATACCTGGCTTACAAACATTTATTTTGCCACTTTCCCAGTAAGATGACTCATGCATTCTCCATGTAGGCATTTAAAATAAGGCAGGCAGTTTAGGCAAGGCTAAGCACTGTTTAGGCAAGGCTTCTAACAGAGTGCAATCCCTGTGGAGATCCATTGGGTGTGCAAGGAAATGAAAAAACCCCCAAACCATTCTAATCAAATTGTCAATACTAACTTTCAGTGTCATGAATACTCCTCACCGCTGCTTTGACACCCGGGTTCTTTTATTCAGTTAATCAAGAAGGTGGGACCTGGCAGGTACGAGGTTAGGGAAGCCTTGTAGACTGGATCAGAAGATGGATTATAGTCCAAATTCCTGTTCTAGGTTTCTTTGTAAATTTTTGATTTTGTCCAGACATCAGAGCAGAAGAGGCTCACCTGGCAGGGTAGAGCTGCTACATTCCTGTTCCTGTAGGTGGGTTGCTGCTGCTTACCATGAGGGACAGGAGTGAGACAGTGGAGAGGTCAGCAGGGTGCAAACACACTGGCAGGAACTCTGGATTGATTCATCTGGTACATTTGCACCATGCCAAGTCCCCACAACTTGTCCCCTCCTCCTTTCCCTCCTGGAAAGCAATAACAAATTCACCTGCCAGCTCGGTCCCACCTGCTTCCATATCAGAATATATGGTATTTCTTCACAGCAGTTTTTCACATGTGCAGCACATTCCCAGTATGGATTTTCTACTTCTGCCTTCTTGCCCTTCCACAGTTAGGTTATATCACAGTATTGCAAAAATGCGGAGCTGTTTCTAGCCTACATTCTCTGAATTCACATTTACTTCCTGAAGCGTTACTCAGCAGCCAGCTTTTTATATTGTGTTCTGTGTCCCTGGGGCAAATGACGTTGTTCCTGTCAGCAACCAAAAACACTGCTCATGTGGAGGCTTAAAATGTATTGTCATTGATAGATTGATGGCAGTTACCCAGATTTTTATTTTGGCACCCCCCCCTTTTATTTTGTGATAAAGCTGTATCCTCCTTTGATTAACAATACCATTTGGAAAAAGATTCTCATTATTTTCCATTGACTTCACCTGACAGACTAGTTCTAGAGAGCAAGTATGAAGTTTTCTTCCAAGAAATACCATTTTTAAACTAAGCATTGGCAAGTGCACAGATGCAGGGCAAAATTTATTGGGGGGTGGGAATGTAAGATTATTGTGTGTGCTGATTCATGTTATATCAAAGTTGATAAGAAGAGTCAGAAGCAGGATGTTTTAAGGTAGGAATTTATGATGCTATATATTTCTAGTATAAATCTGTTAGTTGTATTATAGTCAAGAAAATACAAGTCTCAGGAAAGATTTATCTATTCACACCAGGTATTAGAAAAAATAGGTTGCCTTTGCATAGATATTAAACTAAAATTTGAAACAACTAGATAGGTGCACTAAGACAATGCTGAACATGTGAAATACTTTTTATTCCAAGTTTCTCATTTGAGACTTGAAATTCTATAATGTTGTATGTTAGGGATCCTGGGAGATTGAGCGACATCTTGCGACAGGAAACCTCTTTAAGGTTTTTTTCTACAGTCAAGCCGTATGTAAATTTTATGAAATACAGTGGTACCTCGGGTTACATATGCTTCAGGTTACATATGCTTCAAGTTACAGACTCCACTAACCCGGAAATATTACCTCGGGTTAAGAATTTTGCTTCAGGATGAGAACAGAAATCGTGCTCTGGCGGCGCGGCAGCAATAGGAGGCCCCATTAGCTAAAGTGGTGCTTCAGGTTAAGAACAGTTTCAGGTTAAGTACGGACCTCCGGAACGAATTAAGTACTTTACCTGAGGTACCACTGTAAATAGGAAAGCAGAGCACTGTGCCAGAAACTCAGAGTTGTGTGAACTGGGGAACAATATTTTATACCTCAGAAGAAGATAATGTTTTAGCTACGTTCCCAAGACCAGCCTTCCACAACCTGGTTCCTTCCACATGTTTTGGAATTTGCAACTCTCATCAGTCCCTGCCAGCATGGCCAATAGCACGGGAGGATCATCGTCATCATCATCATCATCATTTTAAATTTGTATACCGTCTTTCTATCTTACAATACTCAAGGCGGTTTACAAGCTGAAGAAACAAAAAATGTACATCTTATAACAATCTAATGCAATACAAAAATGTGATAATAAAACATAACTTTAAAATAGTCAACCTACATCAAAAAAGTAACATTCAACAATCATTAGAATAGTATGAAATAATATCAACATATAAAAGTTAAACAGAAATCCACTCAGCAGTTACGATAAATAATATGATCGATAAAACAACAGCAAGCCACAGTACGTAAAACAATACAATACACATTGAGAAGCAGAGACTAGAGGGTAGAGCAAGGCAGGTGGAAAGAGGCCTTGCTTGATGGAGTCTCTCCCCTCACAATTCTTCCTTCAGGACCAGCTCCCTTATGAGGACTCCTAGGGTCCCATCCTAGGATGGGAGCTGTAGTAAAAAAAATCTTGAGTATATCAGGTTGGAGAAGGCTGAAGTAGGCTTTAACCCTTTTCAGGTATTTATTAGTGTGGAACAGGCTTCAACCTCAGCCCTCCAGATGTTTTTGGCCTACAACTCCCACAATCCCTAGCTTGCAGGGCCAGTGGTCAGGGATGATGGGAATTGTAGTTTAAAAACATCTGGAGGGCCGAGGTTGAGGAAGCCTGGTGTAGAATGAGAGTCTATGAAGGAAGTGGCTCAATGCAGCACTTAGGTTGGAGATGGTCTATTTTCTGGTCATGTTGATACTATACATTTTAAATGCCATTATACCACTTTAAACAATCTTTACTTGCTCAAAACAATATGGGAGCTAGGGTGTTGAGAGTTGTTAAGGGACCCCCATTACTCTCACACAGAGCTACAATTCTCATAGTTCCTTGTGAAGAGACCTAGACTGTTAAGGTACTCTATAAACTGTAGCTCTGTGAAGGGAACTGGGAGTGTCTTAAAAATTCCCAGGAGTCAGGACCCTTAACAAACTACAGTTCCCATAATTATTTGGGGGAAGCCATGACTGTTTAAAGTGGTATGATACTGCTTTAAAGATATGGTGCAAATGTGGCATCTCTCTATTTCATCATTTGCCCACCTGGGGGCAGGAGTCGGGGAATTGGGACATTCTGAAATAGGGAGGAGAAGCAGAATGAAGCCATTTCAGAGAGAAGGGGGAAGTGCTTATAATTGTAAAAGTTGTAGACGTCTTCTTTCTCTCCCCCCCCCCCCCGTCCATTATAAAGCTCACTCCCAAACCACTTTGGGCAGCGGATCCAATAACTACCCCAATTCGCCACACACAACAACAACAACAACAAAGACTTTATTTGCGTAGCCAACAGGCCATAGCATCAAAGGACAAACACCGACAAAAGTACATTACAAATATAGTTACCGTATAATCTTATGGCCTATTAAAACCCTAGGTAAAAGCTGGATTATCATTCATCAATGATCCTCTGTCCCATGGGTGGCGGCCTTTTCTCTGGTATATTATTCCAGGTCGGTTAAGTAAATAGACCAGCCAAATTGAAAGATTATAAATATAAATGGTCAGGGCAGGGAGGGAGATAATAATAACCAGATGCAGATAAGTTAGTGCTCTCAGTACTTAAAACTTGGCAGAGATAATAAAATACTAATAATAAAACATAATGATAATAATGATAGGATCCTAAGCAAGAAATCCGGATGACGACACTGATGTCATTCAGATGGCAGCTCTCAGTCTCATTGCTCTCTCGATAAACAGCTGTCGAGCTGTTCTGGTCGGCTAGGAGTGAGAACAATTTGGCTTCACAAGAGCGGCCCGGGATGGCAGATAGGAGTGGCGTGATGGTCTCGTCCACACACAAATGGGTTGGATAATTGGGACATCTCTTTTGATCTTCTTTTAAACTAGAATTCAGTCACAGCTCATTATAATGAGCATGCCAAGCTTGGGCTAGACCTGCCCCCATGGTGTTCATCACCATCGTTATCATCATCGTACTAATTATATTTTATTATATTAATTACATGCATGCCAAAATGGCTTCCAGGCGGTTTACACATATAAAGTCAATTGTAACAACATACATAATTGAAATACACAATAAAGCAATTGCATCAAAGCATTAAAAACAGCCATAATTAAAACCTACCAGCACCCATAGTTGAGTAGAACATATGCAAATTGCAAGGTATTATTAGTGATAGAGCACTTCTTCATTTGAGAACACATTATTATTTGTGATTGGCACCTAGTGAGCATTTTACTCACTTCTCACTTACCTGTAACTCACCTGTAATCAGTGTGATGGCACTATAGGACCCCTGATAGCACCGTGACTTTACTTCAGAAGCTTGCCATTTATCTTGTGTTTTTTAAAGTCCATTAACTGCATTTATATGGAAACACAATGTATTCAGTACCCAGGACAAATTGCAAGGGGAAGATTCAAGCTGGTTTCTTTAACAGCAGAAAGGGCAATTTGTCTCTGTGACCTTATAAAACAAACAAGTTGCTGTTTTTCGCTTCTTAAAGAAAAAGAAAAAATCCCATTTGTTTCTGCCGAAAACAAGGAAAAGTAGTGGGAGGAACTCTGCAATATCTTGATCTTTTAAGACTTTTACTCTTTGACTATTCTAAACTTTGAAAATATTACCCAAATCAAATTCACCTCTCCCAATATTTTTAGTGGGTGGTGGGTGGGGTAGAACTTGTAATCAAAACTTTCAGAATAAAAATGATAATGTATCTATATGCTGTATGTGTATGTCTCACTTTGACATCTTTTTATGATTTCATTGTTATGGTTTTAATTTTCTCCTTTTCTTGCTTCAGATTATAAGTATTTTGAAATTTGTTTTGTTTTTATTCTGTTATAAGACTATTTGGGCAAGGTTTGTCACCTTATGTGTAAAGGCAGTGTATTTGGTGAATATTTGGAAACAACAGGGTCTTGACCTAACCCACTGACAAAACACCATTGGATTGCCCTTAATCAGTTGCCCCTATTCACTGGAAAGGTACGTGAAGAGTGCTTTATCAGGGATAATCCATATGCCAGCATGGTTCTTTGTACTGAGGAAACCCTGTTCATCATGCCTGGCTCCCGATAGCATGGAAACTGGCATGTGAACAGCTGCTTGCTTGTAGACTTTGCCAATGTAGATGTATATGCCAAATGCATGGCTATCTAGAGAGGGGGCCAGTCACATATTCACATTCCCTCAAAATTGTATAAAGCACACTTCCTGTGATTAAAGACTGATGGCATCTCCCTTGTTCTGAATCAAGTCCAGCTTCATGATTCATTAGATCCAAGCTGAAGGGAACCCATCAATATCTTTTGTAGAAGTATGTGGTGGAAAGAGCTATCAGGACATGCAAAAGCCATTGGTTGCATCCAATGACCAGGGGTGGCCCATCCCACTTCACTGCCCAGGGTGAAACAGGAAAGTGTCACTCCCCCTTCTACTGCCCTCCCCACTGGGAAACCTCTGTAGACCCACTAAAATCACTAGCCCTAAGTCATCACCATTAATTTAAATGGATTTACACTGAGTAAAAGTCAGTTGACTACAACATCATTATTATTGTCACCACTGATGTGTAATGCCCAATGCTTTTTCTTCAAAAAAAAAATGTTTAGAGGTACTCTCATTTTCCTACTCATATTGAAATACTGCCCCTCACTGAAGCCAAACTTAGATTCAAAAATATTTAGGGGTATGCATACCCCTGTGTCCTCCCAGAAAATAGCACTGGTAATGTCTAATGTAAAATATTAAAAATACATTTTAAACAATATTCCATCAGTATCAAATAACATTTAATAATGAGTATAATGACATTAGGAGATCATTTTCAACACAAATAAATTGGATTACAAATCGCAAAGTCGCCATCTTCTATTACCTTTTAAAGTGAGCCAACTTATTGAAATAGGAGTTATGCTTTAATTAAAAGTAAAATGAAATATAGATATCCATGACTTTGATTCAGAGAAGACTTGTGCAGATACTTAATTAGAACTCAGCGAACATTCTTAACTTTTGTAAAATAGACCTGAAAACAATTAACATCGAAGTATTATGAGATGGACTTTCCTAGTTGAATATTAGAGTACAGATCTTCAAGGTTAGGTTTTCCAGCCTAAATTCAAATACCAATTAAGGTGGTAACAGAATCAGAAGCCTACAAATATGGCGTTGTGTCATACCTTTGTTGATCTACAATGCATTTGGAATTAGATTCAATTCCTTTTTAAATGTTTGGTGTCTTGGGATATTGGTTGACATAATACTTAACAGTGATCTGGAATTGGGAGAGGACAGGGTCAGCCATCATCATAATCATCATCCCTTCTTCCCAAAGGAACCTAGGGCAACAAACATACTTACAAAACAGAAAAACAATTTAAATCCATCTAAAAATATTTAGAAAACCTAAAAACACTTAAACATACCCTCACAGTTGCTAATTTTAAGGTTCCTATGACCAGTATCAGGCATCAGATGCCTGGGTGCTGCTGAAATTTGAGAGCCTAAAGTCCACCATTGGCCCTAATTAAACACTATACAGTACTATCTGTGCTCAAGTGTTGCAGAACTGGCCATGAGTAGTCAAGTATTGGAACAAGGGAAAATATTCAGGAAGAGTTGAGTATATCTCATTTAGGACTTTTCTGCATGGTTAACTTGAAGAAGTCTCGATTTGAAATTGCTGCAGAAATGACACGAGAGCACATTTGATTCTTTTGCTATGTTTCTGACTCCTGTCAGGAGGCAAAGGAATCTTTCAATTCTCCCTGCATAGTCTTCTCTGACACATACTTATTCTGTTATGCTATATCTATGATTTGGCTTAGTGGGGAAATGCACTGTTAAGACAAACTCCCTGCTTCCAGTTTCTACTGACAAAATTGATTTCCGATGGGAAGTCTTACTTGGGTGGGTGAAATATTGCCTATGGGCCACTTTTCCCCTTGCTTTGTCTTGGAGAAGTTTAGGTGCTGGGCTAGAGTAAGCCCTAAAGAGAAACCAAATAATTATAAGAGACTGCATGCTGAATAGTATTTTGCTTGCCATGGAAATTGATTCAGGGGAGAATGAGACCCTAAGGGGTCCATTGCAAGAGCTTGTTAGAGAGTAGTTTTTTTCCTCTTGTGAAAGAGAGACAGTAGGAGCCTGCCATTACACATCTTGGAATGAAAACTGATATGGCAGGAAATGCCTGTAGCTTATGTGGAGAGAAATTAGGAATGCAGTGGTTAAGAAGATGGAAGTAAATTGGTAGGCCATTTGAACAGGGTTCTTGGAACTTGCAGTCCTTCATGGCTGGCTTGAGGGTTTGATGCAATACTGTTGGGTGACCATATGCTTGTATGAATATATTCTGCACTTAATCCCAACATAAGAAGAGCCTGCTGAATCAGGCCAATGGCCTATCTAGTCCAGCATCCTGTGGCCAGCCAGATGCCTGTGGGAAACCCTCAAAGAGAATCTGAGCATAAGAGCACTCCGCACTCCTGTAGCCTCCAGCAACTAGTATTCAGAAGCATTACTATGTACAGCTGTGGTGACAGAGCGTAGCCATCATGGCTACTGCCACTGGTAGCCTTATCCTCCTTGAATTTCCCCAATCCTCTTTTAATGCCCCCCAGATTGATGGCCTTCATGGCGTCCTGTGGGAGAGAGTTCAATCATTTAATGTGCACTCTGTGAAGAACCACTTCAACTTTTGTTGTTTTTTTTAAATGATATTTATTGAAAAATTTTTAGAATTACAGAAAAAAACACAGCAGAAAAAGAAAAAAAAACAAAGAAAAAACAAACCACATCAAACATTGTAAATTCAAAAAAACAAAGATACACCACAAACAGATAAAAACAAATCCATCATTCTCGAATCCTCAACTTTCATTACCTTCTTTCTTTGACCTCCTCCTCCTCCCTTTTTTTGTATCCTAGTTATTAATTATCACAGCAAATCCTTTCCATATTTCATAATGTTCTGTCATTACATTACCTTAATCTATTTTCATCTTATCTTATAGAAAACCTTAAAACTTAAAACTTAACTCTTATTTTTGCCAACTTCTCATAACCATAATATTCTTACCTAATTCTTTAGACATTTTTGCTAGAGCCAAGTAATTTTGTTCCAACATTTTTCTAACATTCATTGATTTTATAAAACAATCCTAGTAATAAAAAGAAAGAAATAAAAACAATCCAATCTTCATCCAGCGTCCCTTCCTCCTGGTCCCGGGTTTTGTCAGTCCTCTTTATCCCATTGATCTAGCGCATTAACCTGGTAACCTTATATCCGAGGCCCTTAAGTCTCTTCCATGTCCCTTCTGCAGCTCTTCTTCATATTCTCCTTTCACACATGGGAACTCCAGCTTGGTAATGTTTTTGACCCTTTTCAACAAATCAGCCCCTTTTCCAAAGTCCAGACTAAACTCCATGTGGTATTTAAAAACATGTTTCAGAATCTCTCCAAGATTAAGAGCCCCCACAGCCCCAAACATCTCACGGCCCATTGCCAGACTTGGAAAGTCCAAACATCCCTGCATAGGGGGGTCTATCCAACCCCCCATTTCCAAACCAGTCCAAACCTTATCTTTCCAAATCTGGCTTTTCCAAGTTCATTTGTCAAATCCAAAAGCTCATGTTCCTGCAGGGCCACAGCTCCCTCCATCTCTGGCGCCCAAGATTCAGCAACATCCTCTTCTCTCATCTGTTCTGTCAGGGCACACTCCTGGTTTAATTCCTGGGTGGGCTCCACATAGTTTCCCACTGCCTGTTCAAAAATTCTGACCGCATTAGTCATCAAATCAGTATTCTCATTTAACTGTTCCAGTAGGGCATTTGTTTTACAGAGAGCACACAACAGAGCTTCTGAATACATTGTCCTACAAGGTCACAAGTCTATTTCCACGATTGTAATCTGTAACAGCTGCAAGCTCCCTGAAATTAGTTACAGTTTCACAGTCTCCCTCTAGGGGGAAAACTTCTATTTGTTCTTTCTTTTAAGGACGAATCTAGCAACAAGGTTTCCTTTTTGAGATATTTTGTCAATATTTGTTCCTTTAAAATGCGAAAGGGAACAGTGGAATCACTATGTTTCTCTTCTTTTAGCTATCTGTCAAAAGCGTTTGTCTCTGGTCAATGAGCTTCAAACGTCAGTCCTGACACCCCGCTCCAGGATCAGGACGGTGGAAAGTTACTTTACTTTAAACTCACTTCTGCAGGTTTAAACAGTCCGAAAAGATCCCCTTCTTCGTCTGCTTCCGAAGGGGGGTTCAACAATTTTAAATGATGAAAGTTAATCTTTTAGAAGCGATTTTCTGAGCTCTAGTTTACGTTGTCTTTGCTTTATTCTGTCTACAAAGAAACGGAAGGCTGACTTCCTGTTTAGACCTTCCCGTTTCAGTGCCAAATTGAAGTAAATTTTTAAGTCCAATTCCTTTCTGCTCGCAAGTCCTTATTTAAAGTCCAATTGTCCGAAATTTAAGTACTCACGGGTGATTATTTTAGAAGCCAAATTGTCCCAGGAAAAAGGCAGCGCTCTCTGGCAACGGCTATGCGGCTTCGCTCCACGGAAAAAGCAGTTGACTCTCAGCACCGCACCACTTTCCCCTCTTTGCTTCGGAGCCCGTTAGTGGGTTCCTTTGCGGGTTGGGGGGGCGCTAAGGGTGCCCGCCGAGTCCCATGGTCACAGGCTTCATCTGCCTGTGATTTTTAAAAGGGTCCCCACTTCGCCGTAGCGGAAAAGACCCGTTTCGCGCGGAGCTAGTCCCTCCGGATCAGAGGGAGTCCGCCATTGCCGATGGCGCCACCCCGGAAGTTTGAACCACTTCAACTTTTGTTTCCTGAATCTTGCAACATGCAATTGAATTGGGTATCCATCAGTTCTAGTGTTACAAGAGAGATATGGGGTTAAAAAAAACCCTTTTCTCTATCCACTTTTTCAGTTCCATACATAAATTTATAATCACTTCCTGTTACAAGCAGATACTTGATTCTAGATGGGTGTGTTTAGTTACTACCTGGAAGGTCACATGAGAGCGACATAAAACTCTCATCAACACAATGTAAAGTGGTACAATGTTGTCTTGACTGAATTATGAAGAATAAATATTGCTTTTATGCCTTCAGGAGGTCCTTGGCTGGCATTATTGGCTGGCCATTTCAGTGGAAGTGTTGACTAGATCTGCAAAGGACATGCTGTCCTAATTGGTTAGCACTTGCTAGTGAAAATTTCAAGTCAAAGGTAACAGTGAGAGGACAATTCTGGTAATGGGGAGGAGGCTAGGCTGCTTGATGCAAATGGAAGAAGAGAAAACTAATTATAGAACAATATTTTCAGGAAGAGATGGCAGACCCGTAGGGAACTGTTGGTGTTTAGACTTAAAACTTTCAGCAGAAACTGAAATGAATACGGAATCCCTGTATCACTTTAACCTGGATATATTCACAGAGAGACTCTGTAAAATAAGAAAACAACATTTATTACAAGGAATACATGCTTTATAGGAAAGATCCTAGTTCTGTCTAACTCAAGTGGAGATGCCTTGAACTTTGCTTGTTTGTGCATCTCAGTGGGAGATACAAAAAAAGAAGTCTCCTCTTCCAAGATGAGGATGAAGATGAAGAGACTAAGAAAAGAGGCCAGCAACCCTAAGAGATTACCCAAAGGAATGTCGGCATAGGTTAGGTCAGAAAGGGCAGGCCAGGAAACTTGGAGGTTCCTCTATCTACCCTTTCTAATGCAGATAAATTAGCCTCCAGTGCAAGTTGAGTTGCATCCCAGCAATCCAGAAGAAAGGAACCTCAATATTTGTGGTGCTACTTGGTCTTACAATTGGGTTTCTTTTCTGTTTCCAGGTATCTTCTCATCTTCATTTTTCCACTATGCATTTTCAGATTTTAAGTTTTAATAGTACCTATTGCTACTGATCTATGATTGAGTGCAACCATTTCCTTCTGTGTGCCTTTTATATACTTAGACCATTGTCAATAAGGGTTGGAAGAATCTTACTTTCAGCATCTGTATTCTAAGAAGCTTTGGCTCCTAATGTACAAAACAGAAATAAGTTTTGTAATGATTTCTGACAAATAGTCCTTCCATTCATAGAGCAAGGGATAATAAATTTCCCCTTTTCTACTGAAGCCTCAGAACATATCTATATGTTTCCCTACAGAGTCACATTTACGACAAAGCACACCCTTCTTTCTGGGTGATGGGATCTATAATTATCCCCAAAGTGAGAGCAGAGGTTATATATTTGCTTCCATTTCTTTTTCTTCCTACCCAATTCATGCCATTTCCCTATCAAGCCTCTTTCAACTGAGGTCTTAAACTCCTGCAGACTAAGTGGCATTTCTTTCTTTCAAACCCAGTTTATGTCATGGTTTGATGACCTTAGCCCAGTTGTACCTATATTTCCCTCTCATTATCTACCTGACAGCTGCCTTTGCTGCTAGGTCCAGATTTTAACCTAGGTGGCAAATTACAAGACTAAAATTAGAATTCAGTATTGTAAAGGTTCTTTGCAGTCCAGATGAATTTGCTGCAGTTTCAAATACTTGACCAAGAACTAGGGAGAGGCAGTTATTTTATTCCTTTGTTTGGTTTGCATCGCTTCCAAAACGGGGCCCTTTGAGACCCTATCTAGATTCTGGATCAAAATCATCACTACTCTGGACATATTCTGATTCTCAATTTGATAATGCTAATGTTACAATGCAGATGAACCTGAAAATTACTTACATAGCTCCAGATCCCACAAATCAACATTTGATCCACAGTGCCCAAAAGCATGAAAGGTAAAACCGCATACTTGCCTTACTAGAAAAGGCAGAAAACCAAATCTGAAGAATGTGATCCCTGACCAAACACTAAACACAGATAAACAAACTGAAGTCTAGATCATAGTATCATAGATTTGTAGAGTTGGAAGGGATCTCAAGGGTCATCTAGTCCAACTCCATGCAATGCAGGATTCTCAACATTTGCATCCATGACAGTTGGCCATCCAACCTCTGCTTTAAAATTTCCAATGCAGGAGAGTCCACCACCAACCGAGAGAGATCGTTCCACTGTCTAACAGCTCTTACTGTGAGAAAGATCTTCTTGGTGTTCAGTCAGAATCTCCTTTCTTGTAACTTGAAACCACTGGTCCAGATCCTAGGCTCTGGGGCAGGAGAAAACAAGCTTGTTCCCTCTTCCATGTGACAGCCCTTTAGATATTTGAAGATGGCTATCATATCTCCTCTCAGTCTCCTCTTTCCCAGACTAAACATACCAACTCCCTGAATTCTTCCTCATAAGGCTTGGTTTCCAGAAACAAGAATCTCAGGGTCTCAAATGTCGTTGATGCCCCGTGTGATACCAAGATTCAGCGGCACCTGCCTCTTACCTTCTATTATAGATCATAGTTGTGATTCCCCCTAGGACGCCCCTAAGGTTTTGTGCCCAGGGCAACCAAACCAGTCATGCTCCCCTATATTCACCATTTTGATACTCCAAAATCATCACTTGGGGGAGAAATGAGAGTCCATGGGAAGATTGTTTATCATATATGATTATTTTCTGTATTGTTGCATATTACTTGCCTGCTGCAGGACAGTGAAGTGCCATCTGCCATCAATCTATAAGTCTTTCAAGGGAGACAGGCTGATTGAATTTCTTCAAAGTCCACATGCATAATTTCTAACTCTATCTGGTTTGTATTCTCAGCAGTAGGGGAGGAGAAAGTTTGCCAATGAGGATCACAGTTAGCATTCAAATGTCATTTAGAGAAGATGGCAGTGATTTCCTGTGTGGCTAAAGCTAGTTTTATTTACTATAAAAAGAAAGCTGAGCTGAATGACTTTCAGGACTAGTGTGATAAACATGGTCTTAGTGGTAATAAGCCTTTATCAGCTAATTGCATTATAACTAAATAAACACAGAAATATTATTCACATATTGACAAAAATGGTGTAAATATGTTGGAGAATGTATTAGCTCAGATTACATGGGGAAATGAATCCTACATGTGCCCTTTAAGGAGAAGGCATTCCAGGATATGCCATACTTGCAGAATATCAGAAGCAAGGTGACATGTGAAAACTTGGATTTTTAAAAAGTCATTGTAAGCATATATGTACAAATTTCTACCACTACATTTGCATGATTTTAGTCCATTTAATAACACATCACTTGAAATCTAACATGGAGGAAACAGAACTGTTTATTTTTTGAAGCATGTTTCTATAAAGATGCACATGGTTGGGTGTGGGTGTGTGGGTGTGGGTGTTTTAATCCTGGTACACTGACGTCTTATAGCCTCAAGCCAAAACAAACAACACCAACACTAACAAGAATTGCAATGCAAGTCTAAACATTCTTACTCTAAGTAATCAGCACAATTCTTACCATATCTACTCATTTTTAACGACTATGAGATTCACTGAGGCTTAGGACTGCAACCTTCATCAACCTATGTTCAAAGACACAGCACTGGCAGAAACCTTAACCTTCTGTACCATATTTTTCCTAGGACTGATTCAAAGACCCAGAATAAATCACTGCAGAATAAACAGAAAAAAGCATCCACTCTCTTTCAACAGTGATAGAAAGGAATGTGCGTATAGGCTGATCAACCTCAGTGTCTCAGAATTCCTACAATAATCTTCCAGTTCTGCTCCATCGTGGTGTTACCACTAGAAGGGTTGCTTTCTTCTTCCATTCTTTTGTTTGTGGCTTTTTGCGCTTCGAGGCCTCCAAGACCCTCCCCTGTAAATAACTTTACATGGATACATATTTTAGTTTAAGTTATTGGGCAAAATTTTAGGCCACTATTTTATTGATTACAGCAAAGTAAGCGGTATTGGCTTAGGCATTGGCAACAGACTATAACTCTCTGACTGGTAGTCTGAAAGGGTAAACACCAAACGAGGGACATCGATGAAGACCAACCGAAGCTCACCCTGGGGTTCCTGTGGTCCTGGCATGGTCCTAGCCCCTCAAGCGGACTTCGGACGAGATCCAGGACTCCCAGATTCCTTTACTGAAATACCCTATTCCTGGAGGGGCAGGTGATGACTGCACCTCCTCTCCCCCACATTTCAATAAGCCAATGCCTAACCGCCATACCTTACAAAGTTGTGACAATTGCTGAGGGGGTAGGCGAAAACCAAGTGGCTATAGCCAATCTGCCAAATGGAAAAATTCCTACCCAGCCCATGTTCCAAAACAGGCGACCCAATGCAAAGCAAGGCCAAAGCAGCAACACCTAACATTAAGGAGGGAGGGCGAGTGCCTAGCAGTGCGAAGCAAGTGCCCCAAATTATGTCACGCTGTCGCTTTTATAGACCCCGAGAATCATGCTGCCTCACGTAATTGGTCCAAACAGCCTGGCGTTATCCCGGGGCCAAAATGCTAAGTCTTAGGCTACACCCCTAAATAATTAACCCTGCAGGGGTGTCCTAGGGGCCCTCACGCTACCAGGACCCTCATAAGGAGGATCCCATTTATCTCTCAAGTCCTTATCCATGCTCTGGTCAACACTCAGACTCTTCTATGTGCTGTTTTCTCTCCCAATGGTCTTCTTAGTTAACTCAGGATTCATTGACTAGACTCAACTTTCTCTTCCATTGGGTAAGCCCATCAGTCTCTTATTCAGTCTCTATGATTCTAAGCAGGACCAGCCCAAGACATTTTGCTGCCTGAGACAAAGAACAAGATATTGAGTCAATGTGCCCTCTTTTTTCATGACAGATCCTCTTTTTCAAGGGTAAAATTTGAGTCAAATTGCATTTATTTGCTTTGAATGGCCGTCATAGCGTCCTCTTTTTTGCTCTGCAAAATATGGCAACCTTAATGTTCAGAAACTAACCAATCTGGCAATTGAATCCTTTTTTTACACTGGCTAAAGGGAACAGTATCCTCAAATCCACCTAAGAGCAGCAATCTAGCACAAAGGGTACAGGCCAGGCCATGTAGCACACACAGCTCTATCCCTCACCCCTCAGCATTTGCTGCCTGAGGTGCCTGACTCCTCTGTCTTACAGTAGGGCCATCCATGATTCTTAGAGCTTTGAAGTTAGAAGGTTCCACCACAAATAATATCCCTAACATAGGGAGCCTCATTTGCCACACCATTAATTTTTTAACCCAGTGTGTGACTCACAGGAAAGACAGCTGCTATTCAGAAAAATAAAATTATGTTGGATGTGAGCCAGCCTAGAGGAACACTCTGGTTTGTGAGCCCCATCATTCCTTTATTCTATTGCTCTAAACAAGTCAATTTACTATAATTCAGTGCTGCTACCCTCTCCCACTTACATCCTTGAGTGTTCATGCGTTGTGTGGTTTCCTGCACCTAGAACAGTTTGTCTTTCTTTTTGTTGATCAAGTCACTTCCTTCATGTTCTTTCCATTCCTTTCAGAATACATTATTAAGGAAACAGACAAAAGAAATCTGGGACTACTTACTAAAACGTTAGAAAAGAACCGGAGTGGATATGTTTTAGTCAATAATTTTATAACAGAGAGTGACTATGTAAAAGCATTCATAAGAACTTGGTGTGTCAGACCATTTCCCTCAACAAATTAGAAGATACGGGAAAGGTAAAAGAGGAAGAAAAGGGGAACTGCAGCTCTAGCTTTGTGTGTGTGTCAACTTGAAGAAGGGCAGGCTGTTCTTGCTATTTTGAAGGCCAAATAACTCCGCTCAACAACAAATAGCAATCAGAATGTATTATTTTGTATGATGTATCACAATTCCGGACTTATGAAAAGAGTGTTATTAAAAATGTATGCAGCAACTGTGCATCTTTCAATTAAGATTTAACTAAGCCAAGTCTTCACAAGTTAGGAGACATTAGGCAGAAATGTGAAGTATCATTTGTAAAAACCAATCCGCAAAACAAAACAAAGGCATCTTTGCACTTAGTCCCCTGGTGAGGAAAAAGAATGGCTAGCTGAGTAAATTGGTGAGTCAGTTAAAGAAAAATCAGAGTAAGACGATATACAATTATATTCCAAAACTTTTTCTTCTGCAGCCACTTTCTTCTGGCAGCCACTTCCCCACCCAGAATACAATGTGAGTTAAACTGGTTTCTGCCACATAGCTGTTATTGTTTTTACTGACAGACCAAGTACGGTTTTATGGCTGCTGGTGAAGGAGGTTTTATTTATGCTACAATGACCTGCTGGTCCTCCTGGTTAAAGATTGGTTGTCACAGCTGTATAGGCTGGCTGATGCAGTATATGTCCAACAGAAATGAAGAGAATCCTCAGGTAAGCACCCTTAAGCAAGTGTTAAGGTGAAGGAAAACTTCTTCAGATCTGCCCCATCAAAGTTATGAGATTGGAAGGGCCTTCCTGGCTCATTCATGCAAAGCTGTGAGACTCATGTGGTGGTGGTGAGGGCTTTGAAGGGGCATATATAGGACAAAGATGAACTACTAACCCTAAGCCAGGGGGGCTCTATCCTCCCCAAAAATGCTGCAGAAGAAGGAAAACACTTTCATCTATGTTCAATTTCAATAAAGTTCTTGTTCATTCAAACTCAAGCTATAAGCTCTACACTTGGGAGTCAAAACCTTCTTGTTATATATGATAGTTTGCATCTATTAGCTTACATACACACACACTGAAATAAATGAGTATATTAATTCCTACCTTTCTTTGAAACAATGACAATTGAAAACCATTGGAATGGAGAAACTTTAGAATCAGACCTCAATTATGCCTTAGATCACTGCTCTGGAAGCAGCTTGAACATCAAGATCCCTGTGAAATGAGTTTAAACGCGCACACACACCCCAATAATTTTTATTGTTTTTTAAACAAATACAAGAATCATTAAACACTTATCCAGCAATACATCTAGTGACATTTGTTCCATCCATTGACTTTAGACATAAGCTTACACATTCAGTGTTCAAGTATATTATGTAACGTAACTTTTCTACTGAGAAGTGGTTGGCATAGCAAGATATTTTCCAAGAAATGTGGACACTGAGGTTTCCACAGAATCCGATATCCTCATTAGGGATCACAGGAGTCCTGCGAGCTATGTTTCCCTTGCCTCATGGCACTTGAAATGTAGATGTTGACAGTGCCCCAGGAACTTAGAAATGTATCCTAATGTCTGTAGGGTAAGACTATTCCCTGGGGATTCTGGTAATGGGATGCTGCTGAAACAACCTTGTAGGGTTACATGATCCCTCTATAAAGTCAATGCATTGTAAGGTTTGATTAGAAATGTTTGCACAGTGGTAGGGTGGGTGGACATTGCTAGGTGACCCCATTGCAGCTAAACATGGCACTTAGATTGTTTGGCTCCAGTCTGAAGGCTTGGAAAGGTGGAAGATGTGCATTCTCATTCCAAGCCCCTGCTTTGAAATCTGATGCTGCCATTAGCTTGAATCAGTTTGTGCCTATGACCTTAGTCAAACGTGTGCAAATATATGCCTTCATAGCCTGTAGATTTTTTTTTTTAAGTACAACAACTTTTGTTTTGCAGAGAACTTAATGAACTGTTGTACCTTTGTCTTGTACTTTTCATCGACACATCTGCATTAAGTTTAATGACTCGCTCAGCTGTGCTTCTCTTTGGAGTATTTCTTTATGACTTTTCAAAGTACAAACTTCTCGTTGCTTGACTGATTAACCCATTATGCTGCCGCTCAGCGAGGTTATTATCTAATTCCAGAGGGCTGATGTCTATTGAGTTTTTAACAGATGGAAAACAATAGGATATAGGAAACAAATATAGATGAACTACAGGGTAATCTGCTCTTTACTCTTTCATGCCGGATGTTTCTACTTCCTAGAATAAATTGGAAGCAAAAGCTAGTCTTCCCATGGTGCACGCATAATGAAGTTCTCCAGAGATGCAAGGATGAAGTAGCACTCCCACTAAGGTGGTGCATCTTGCATTTGCTTAAAAAAGCCTTCTCTGTTAAAAGCACACAGGGCACCGGTATGCAGGGACGTCTTTCTGTCAGTCTATCTATTACCTATCGATCATCTATCTATCATCTATATCTATCTATCATCTATCTATCTATCTATCTATCTATCTATCTAATCTATCATCTATCTATCTGTCGTCTATCCAATCTTTTACTTCAGCTTTCCCCACCATTTGATGTTCAGTTCCTTGGATTTTTTTTCTTTTTTCTTTCCAGGGTAGGAAGCAGGGAAACTAAGCCAGGAACTGCCGTTGAATTTCTCTGAAATAGAAATTTTGCTTGGTCAAAATACTGAAGAAATCTCAAGGGAAACAAAAAGAATTACCTCTACCCCCTCCAAAAAAACCACTAGTGGAATTTGTTAGAACATGTATGCCCCTAAGCTTCCAACGTTTGCTACAAAGTTCTGTCTACAGTGTAATTGGATAATTTCAAACTTCTGCTTGGAAGAAACATGTAAGAAGATTTGATCATCCATTTAAAAATACTATAGCACTGCTGGTCACTTGACCTCCAATTGGTTGCATTGGTAAGGGGTGAGGCAGGGCTGTGCAGTGCAAATGCACCAGCAGAGCCAATTTCTTGTTCCACACCAGCCTCACCATCACCTTTCCCCTTGTCCTCTGCCTGCTGGCTCATCAATTCAAATGGGTCTACACTGAGTAAAAGTAAGTTGAGTACCACTCAATGCATTTTATAGTCTATACCAATACTTTATTTCTGTGGCAGTAAATCTTAGGGTTGGGCTGTGGGTTCATCTATAACACAACAAATTCTGAAAAGGAAAAATAAAACAAAAAGTGTTGCATAGAATAACCTTTCAACTTCTTTGCGCTTTTTTTAATTGTTAGGACGTATTTTAGTAACTAACCTCTGAATTTTGCAAAAATAATTCATTAGATTATAGTGCTTATTTTACTTGGTTATTCCTGTTCTTGCATTGTTAATAATTCTGTTTATTGGATAAAATGAACAAATTGTCCTAAAAAATGCTTATTTGCAGTTTTTGGTTTTTTTAAAAAAAAAGTCCTCTGGCTGTTTCAACTATTTTACTAAGGCATTGGAGGAGGAGGGATTTTTAGAGTTTCTAAATGAACTGGCTAAACGAAGATCATGATGAGAGATTTTGTTAACCAGGGTGAGCTAAATCTCCCTTCATAATTCTCATTTAGATTTTTTTCCCCATTATTTAAATGTCTAAGCTGGTTTAAAATTAATTTACTGAAAAAGTCAAATCTATTTTGTCTAAATCCCTTCTGCATGTGATCAGCATTCCAAGGGCTAGCAATGAACAGTTAAGTGGAACAGGCTATTCGTACTCAAGGTCAAATGCCATTTCATTTGTTTTTGTATTTACAGTCATGTTAAAATGAGTATAGCAATCCTAAAGCACACATAGCTAATGGTTTCTACTGAATGCTACATTACACATTTAAATGCTTTCTTAAACAAGTGATTAAATGAAAATGACATCTAAATGAAATACAACAGAGAGAGAGAGAGAGAGAGAGAGAGAGAGAGAGAGAGAGAGATTCACCTGCTTGATCAAAAGCCTTTCCTGGATAAGGTGTCATCATGGGTACTGTAGCTGATGTTTGTTTTAGTTTACCTGCACAAGTTGACTATGGAAATTAGACAAGCTCAGTATATTTCAGCTTTCTTCATTGTGAGATGCACACAAGGAGAAAAGCAAGAGACGATCCATTAGTTTAGATCCAAACTTTGCCCCTGAACGTGATCAGGACCAGGGACCAGGGGACACTACCGCTAGTGGCCAAGGGGGCTTTTTGCCCACTTCCCCTTCTGTAACTCACTGGGCTGCTTCTCCAAATTCTTCTTGAGGGTTGGCAGATCCCCTCCCCCAGAAGTATCTATTTGCTGGATCAAAAGCCTTTCATGGATAAAAGTGCCATCCACACAGAAGGTGTCATTCTGGCTCTGCTGTTCCTGAGGGCTTAATGTTGTTTCTAAACATCATTTTGCAGTTATCTTGCAAAAGCTTTGGAATGGAAGCGCAGTCTGGCTTTGAAAACTGAGATTGAATGGATAATACTTTGCCTTATCAATGCTCAACTTTCTTTTAAAATGGAAATCTCAGTAAAATGCCTTTAAGTGCCCGTCTCCAAGATCCATGCTGTGATGCAGGTATGTCTTCGTATTATAGTGCTCTGTTTTCATAGAAACTTATGAAAACGTACACAGTGAGATATAGCTGAGCAATAGCAAGGTGCAGCATATGGAAAGCCATGTTTTTGTCATCTTATGCATGAAAGCATTTGATAGACTGTCAGTTAACCTGGCTGTGGAGGCTGCTGTCTTTAACATGCACAAGTGATGTACATACATGATCACTTGGCTGTGACTACACACCGTAACCATCTGTTAGGATGGCATACTTCCTGCTTGCAAGATGATTCACTAATTTAACTTGATCACAGGTGCCAACTGAGCTGCTTGGCAGCTATAGACCCTTCAGATAGCAGAATGTTCAAGGCAAATTACTGTAAATGTGTAACACTTCACCTGAGTCGGAAATAAAGCTCAAAACTTGCGTGCACTCAACTTGAGTGGATGGGGAAAGAGTCAAGGGAGGAAGGCGGGATAATTTCACTTTTAGAGTACTAAAAGGCTGGCAAACAAATTCATAGCAAAGATTTTAATAAACCAATTTACTCGGAGGTGAGAGTTAATATGTGAAGAACTGGTACTCTTTATTGAAACAGGGTGGAAATTATCCTGCTAAACCTGTTTATTTAACTTCAAAGGAAAATGGGACAATTAGAAATAAAAGCAGGAAAGCAAGTACCAAGTAGACTGTTGAGTGCATAATTGTAGAAGATGATGGAGTAATGTAAGGCAATTAAACTAGAAGTGATTTTTGGGGGCGGGGATGAACCCACCAAATAAACAAAAATGCAGCTATCCTTCAAAATTTGCACTTCTACAAATGCGATAATGTATTTTTCCAACAAAATGATTTATAGAAAAATGTAGATATCGTGTGAAATTGTTCATAAAAATGCACACATCTGTGAGAATAGCAGTAAAAATGCAAAAATGCTGGCAAAATGGTATATTAGGAGAATGCACACTAAAATGCTGATGGATTTCCACAAGGATGGCATAAAAATGCAAACTGATGTGAAAATGTGAAGCAGAGTTAAGATTGGAAAAAGTAGACTGAGAGGAATGGAAGTTGTCAGATTCACCCACCTCCCGAATCAATTCAAGCCCTGTTTAGGTGTTGTTCATGAACAGAGAAAGGCAGCATGAGAAGGGAGATACGCAGTAGCCCTGCTCTTGAGCAAGGAGGTCAGGTTAGGCCTTTTAAACACATTCAGGTTTACAAGCTTAGAACCCTGCTCACTGTAAAATCATGCTAATATTAAAAGCAATTGGCTGCAACATCTGGAGAGTCACAAGTTAGCACCCCCTACACACACACACACACACACACAGTAGAGAATACATTGTGGTATGCAAGTTTTACTCTGAGTAAACCCATTGTAATTAATGAACATGACTAAGTTAGGTCCATTAATTTCATCAGGTTTACTCTGAATTAAACTTAGTTGAATACCACCCACAGCCTAGAAAAAAGCATTTTAAAATTAAGTAAAAATGATTTTTGATTAGGTAAAACAGGTCAATTTAAGTTGGTGCCAAGCTCTTCAGAACGGTTGAGTTTTAATTAATACACAACACCAGAACACTGTCATAAGAGCATGCAATTGGAAATTTGAGTAGAAGCATCTGGAAATGAAATATTTGTGCTCCACATTATTTGTGGAATTACCTTGTTTAGAAACAAAATATTTTGCATACAGGGTATTTTATCAGCACCCTCAGAACTGATTCAGCACTACATTTAGTTCTTCTGGAGTGATTTTTCTTTTCTACTGCATATAGACAACATGCATATATTCATTGCTGACCTTGTCATTTTACTGAGAAAGAGCCCTTTCCCATAAATCTAGTTAAGGTGTTCCATGGGAATCATCATGGAGATATATGATACTGCACAAATATTGCTCAATTGCAGCAGAAGCCAATTGACATCAAGGAGATAAAGCTGCTCAGTGGGTCAATTGGCAGCTTGTGACTGATCCATCAACCTGAAAGCTTATGGAAATTAGACATGAAACACCAATTGTGTGACACTGAAGTAATGCCTTACTTTATTTAGAATATGTCTGTGTCTAAAGGTCCAATCCTCATGAGTTATATTGTAAGTGGTGTACAATGGCTTGTGGGATCCTGCATACATTTTCCAGCACCCAACCCCTTGGCTTACATTGAGGGTAGCCATCAGTGCCAGATTGCCAAGCCTGACTTTCCCTCTTGATAGAACACTGCTATGCTATGCTATGCTAGCATTTCTCCATGGCATGGAAAGTTGAAGGGATGTGGGAGGTTGGGTTCTTTCTAGCCACTTGCCTTTCCTGCCCATAGGATTTGTGGATAATTATGCAAAGGACTGGCAACAATTGAAGTTGTATATTGCTTATTAAACAGTGTAGAGGTAGCCATTCTACCCCTGCATGTGAGGCACCCACTTGAATTTTAGAGAAACCTTTGGCAATGAGTTTTGGGTCTGGCTCCTCACACAATAATGCACAAGGTCAGCTCCTCATACAATATTTTGTACTGGGGGAATGATGTCAGAGTACAGCTGCAAATCTTGCTCCCTTTTCAATTCACAGAATGACTGGGAAAGAATTTGGTCACCACTTCCATCTGTAATCTTACTGATAATCTATTTTTATTTTCTTCTGCCGTTGAACAGTCCCATTTCATTCAGGGGTAGTCAACATGGTGATCTTCGGATGTTGTTGGAATACAACTCCCATAATCCTTCACTATTGAGCATGCTAGCTGGGGCTGATGGGAGTTGTAGCCCAATGACATTTGGAGGGCACCACATTGACTATCGCTGCTACCCAGAAAATATGAGGAATTTAAGAATCTACTTTGGAAACTTTCCTAATGAGACATAGTAGCTGGAGCAATTTAAATGCCCATGCCGGTCTTCCTATGGTTTCACATGTTTTACCTTCTTTTGATGGCAATAAAAATAGCATTCTCCGATGGTGTATTGAAACATTATGCCTCTAAGAAAAAAATATTCAAATGAATTATGCAAAGCTCCATTTAAAATTGACAGAAACTGAAATACAGATGTGGATATATTTTGTTTATAAAAACTCTTTGGATGATAGAT